ATAAGTATCAGAGAGAGGCATAAAGTTACTCTTTGACAAATTGATTGTATACCCTGATAATTTCCCAAAAGAAGTAATTAAATCTAAAAGAATGGGAACTGATCTTTCAGAGTTCTGCAAATACAATATCACATCGTCTGCATACAGACTAATAAGAACTTTCTTGCCTCCCACTTCAAGACCTGTGATACCCATATGATGCCTTATACTTAAGGCAAGGGGTTCTATTGCAATGGCGAAAAGGGTGGGTGAAAGGGGACACCCCTGTTGCACTGAGCGGTGCAAAGGGAGCTCAAGCGACCTGTCTGCATTAGCTAGAACTGAACACTTTGGTCTGGCATATATTATTTTGACCCATGATATAAATGCCTCGCCAAACCCAAACCTTTGCAGTGATCCAAACATGTAAGGCCACTCAACCTGATCAAAAGCTTTCTGCGCGTCCAAGGACAGAATTGCTGCTCCATTAGCTTTCGCCTGCTTAGCATATATTGTGTTGAGGAGGCGACGCACATTAAAAAAAGAGAATCTGCCAGGAATAAACCCGGTCTGGTCAGGATGAACGATGGAGGGTAGATGTTTGTTAAGCCGAATAGCCAAAGCTTTAGTAATTACTTTCCTGTCAAAGTTCTGAAGCGCAATTGGTCTATAGCTGGCCTGGTCGGTTTCATCTTTGTTTATCTTTAAAATGAGAGATATATTGGCTTCATACAATGTATTAGGCAGAACGTTATCTTTTTTAGAATTGATTATCATTCTAAGGAGTAGCGAGGCAAGAATATCACAGAATCTTTAAAAAAAATTCTGAACTAAATCCATCTGGCCCCACCACCTTCCCAGTTGGAAATGACTTAATGGCAACGACTATCTCCTCCAAAGTGAAATCGGAGTCCAGGTCTGACCTAGAAATGTCGCTAAGTTTAGGTATTTCAAGAGAGTCAAAAAAATGTGTTAAATCAGAATGAGTGGCTGTAATATTGGAAGTATAGAGTTCACTATAAAAATCTTTAAAACGGGCATTAATATCCTTGGGGTCAGTTAACAGTCTGCCATCCTTAGACTTAATGCAATAGACTGACCTGGAAGCTTGAGCCCCTTTAAGTTGTTGTGCCAAGAGCTTATCAGGCTTATCTCCCGTTTTGAAATGCCTCTGCCTCATTCTCAAAAAGAGGTTGTTTATTTGACCACCAAGAATGCAGCTGTATTCATACTTAAGCTTCAGTATCTTTTTAGATTTTGTACACCTGATATGCCAATTCAAGAGTAGGAAGAACACTTTGTATCTCTAAAAGTCGTTTCTCTCTTTTTTTCTTTCTTGGCAGCAGATTCGTAAGAAATAATATGCCCGCGCATAACCACCTTTAATGTCTCCCAAAGTATAGAACCTGACACCTCCCCATTGTCATTAAACTCCCTAAACTCTTTCAACTTGATGGTAACGTGTTCTACGAATTTACTGTCAGTAAGCAGAGATGGATTGAAACGGCAATAATAAGATCACTTAGGGAGAGATAGGTCGATGGACATGGTAAGGGGGCTGTGATCGGAGATCAATATGCTGTGGTACCTGGTATCAATAACATGCGAAATTAACTGAGAATCAACCAAAAAATAATATATTCTACTATAAGATTTGTGGATATGCGAATAGTACGAATAATCTCTGTCAACAGGGTGCTGAATTCTCCAAATATCCACTAAATTTCTGCAATTAAGCAGGTTATTTAAAACTTGTACTGATGCGATTCCAGGGGGTGGACGAGTGGATAGTCTGTCTAAATAAGGGTCTAAATAACAATTTAAATCTCCCCCGATTATTATATTGGAATTATTGCCATCAGGATGTAAGTCAAAAACCTTCTTGAAAAAATTAGGATCGTCAGTGTTTGGACCGTAGATATTTAAGAAAGTCAACGGGAAAGAATGTATGGTACCAGAAACAATAATGTATTTGCCATAAGGATCAGTAACCATAGAAGAAAATCGAAATTGAATATTTTTCCGAAAGAGAATGGCCACCCCACGGGCGTGAGAAGTGAACGGTGATTAATAAACTTGAGATATCCAACTGCAACGCAACGCTGCTCAGTTACTTTAATATGGGTCTCCTGTAGAAAAATTACATTTGCTGATAATGATTTAAGGTGCCTAAATACTTTTTCTCTCTTTATAGCATGTCCTAGCCCCTTAACATTCCCAAATTTTAGTCGGTTTTACTGGAAGAATTCACTGTATGAATAATTTTTGGGTATAATATGTCGCAGTTTACTTTATTTTGCTATCCTCACTTACATAAATGAACAACGTCCTGCACCCACTAATAAGAAATATCAAAAATTATATCTGGTATCTGAATAATTTTTTATTTGACTGTATATGGTGAGCGTAAAGCCTTTGATACACAGCTAGACACAAAGGGCAGGAAAAGATAACTTAAAGTATTACTTAGTATGTAATTATGTAAACAAACTAGCCCATAGAAAAAGAAAATTGTCTAGCAAATTAATTTATATATAAATGCAAACATATATGTTTGGGGTTTATTAAATCAACAAATCTATTATTAGTTGTACTTTACAAAGTGGATAGCGTGCCAAACAATCTTATCCACCAAAATGAAATGAAAGAAATCAATACTTTTTTCAGCAAGAATGCAATAAATTGATCAAAAGTGACAGTAATGCCATTAATAATGTTATAAAACATTTCAATTTCAATTAAATGCTGTTCTTTTGAACCTTATATTCAACAAAAGTATTCAAAAAAATTAGATTTTCATCCAAAATCGCATCCAAAAACTGGCAGGAATAAAACAGATACTATTTGCATAAAGACAGAGAGGACAGTGACTTTAGTGTTGTCTCTGAACAGCTTTGCTGTTAGGCCTGTGTACTGTTAGCTTGAAGATTACCTGAGAGGGCCATAATAGTGGGAAAGCCATAACCAGTTGTGTGTTCTATTAGCAGAGATGAGAGAGAGATCTCAGTGCATTTGTGCTGTGGAGATGCAAATCTTTTTTACTCGGCAATGTTTTGGCCAGCAAAATCACCTTTCCTCTGGCTGACAATGCAGCCACAGCAGTCTACCTGAAATCCCATACCAACATGAAACAGATGTTGAAATATACACACAAATTTAAAGAAGATAAATAATGGCTGGTGGATACTACTCCTATTTTCACATCTCAGCTGTATTTCAAAATAATCAGACTAGAGCTTCTCCTTGTGGTTGTGCACAGAAATGCTGCTAGCTAAAGAGAACTAAAGAGCAGGTGAACTAGGTTTTTACATTTTATCCTACATATGCTCACTGACTTACTGGCAGTCAAGAGAATATCCTTGGTTGGCTCTGGTTCCTCTTTCAATGAAATTTATTTTCATGACTTCACATGAAGTCGCCCTTGTTAAGTTAAGATATAATCTTCACCCTTCGTGCGGTCAAATGTGGGTAACCGGCTCCGGTCTTTAACCACTAGTTCATTCTGTGGGTAGAAACTGCATTATATCTGCAACGTTTGAGTGAGTCTCAGTTTGAGTAATCCCCAAAAATATGGTTAGATCACCACAATTAAAGTCCACATGAAAGAAAGCTCAAGTTATTCTATACTGCAATTTCGACAGTCGATATAAAACATTTGCTATAGTTTTCTAGTGCTAAGTTATTATATTCTTAACAGTGACTCTAAACTGGTTTTACATTGGAAAAGTTGGAAGTTGGAAAAGTGAAGACTCAACACAATACTGTGGTCAAGCATAGGACCAACAATATGCAAAATAAGAGTGGATGAAGAGAACAATTCAACAAAAAAACTGTTTCATGCTCCTGGCAGCCAATAGTTTACCACAAAACACATTGCGGTTGGCACAAACATGGTTATTTTCAATGCAAGTGAACCCATATTTAATGTAGTCTTGGTCATATTTTCTTTTCATCTTGCACTGTTTTATTCTTGGATTTTAAAGATGAAGGTATGTTACGCAACTTGTCCATGTTGGCATCTCTGCATAATTTGGCTGGCGTGTGCCAAATTTACATTTGGACATTGGACACATGGCATTTGATGTTGACAACAAAAGATATGGGAAGCCTCTTCTCCTCCATTTTAAAAGCCTGTTTATTTTGCTAGATGGATTTTATTACTTGCATTTGGCTTTTTTTCCCTGCTCCCATATCAGAAAAAAATTTTTTTTTGGGCCATACACTCTTAAAAATAAAGGTGCTTCACGATGCCATAGAAGAACCTTTTTGTCTAAATGGTTCCATAAAGAACCTTTAACATCTGAAGAACCTTTCTGTTTGGCAAAAGGTTCTTTGTGGGGAAAGAAGGTTCTTCAAATTACAAAAAGGTAAGAAAGAGATGGTTCTTTAAAGAACCTTTGACTGAATGGTTCTTTGTGGAACCAAAAATGGTTCTTCTATGGCATCGCTTGAAGAACCTTTTGAAGCACCTTTATTTTTAAGAGTGTACCCACCAGTTTCTCTATAATGCTGTAGAAATTCAAGGTAATATTGCTTTTGGTGTAACTGAAGTTCTGGGCAGTGGGAGCGAGTGTAGAAATCTTCTTTGGCGTCTTAAACTTGCAATTTAGGCTAGAAGATAATAACAGACAATAGATCAGACAGCTGTATTCATTGTCCCTTCAATTCATTAATTGCATGCCAGGCCAATGATGAATGATGAATTGGGCTTCATGATGAATTCTTCATCGATTCTGCCTAGCTCAGGCATTTTGTGTAACTACTCAAAGAAACTCAATAAAAGTCTATAATAAACTGGAGAGAAATTAAAATGGTTGCAAAACTATTGCCGGAATCGAAAAAAACTCCACTAGCAGTCCAAAATGAAGTGAAATATAAAGTGAAACTTGACATGTAACGGTAGCAAAATAGTGTGTGCGTTTGTGTTAGGGAGTGCATTTGTGAGGCATGATGCTCAAATTCGCCCCGTAGTGGAAACCACATGCAGCAACTGCACAAACACCAAAAACTGAAGGTGCAGGGCCACGTTTTTCTCCGTCAGGGACGAACAGAAAGCTTTGGCTGTTAGGCTGACTGACTGAGAGATGCTTCTTCTGCTGCTGTGTGTTGTTCTCCAGGCTTTGTCCTTGTCTCAAGGTAAAATAGTTCTGGTGTATGGTTTGTGTAGGCAGACTGTGTATTTCATCTAGAGAGCTTGAGTTCAACTGCAATTATATAATATTTAATATTCTGGTAAAAAAAACATATTTTCATATTTAATAAAGGATCTAGTGGTTGCTCTTTTAAGTCGATGATACTTGAGCAGAGAGGCTGTAGAATTCTCAAAGGGTATTGCACAATCCGTTTAAATAGCTCTTGAGAGACAATCACTATCATAGATGGAAAATCAAATGTGCACTTTCAACAAAAGACTTGGTGTAAGACATGCTTTGTGGTTGAAATGCCTCGGTTCATTACATCGCTTTTGTAAAGTGCTGTTGGAACAAAGTGCAACCAGAGATTCGTTTATGCACTTCAATGCACTATGAAACACTGGTAACTAATAAGCTGAACTTCACAGGAGATTGAATGAAGAAAGATGACTTCATTTGTAAGTCAAATGCATATGATGGCTAAAAATAAAGAACAACATCTACATCTTATCGCTGAATTTTCCTAACAGCCATTTGTAGACTACATGGAGTTCATTTATATTGTGTAAAACAAGCTACGGATTTTATAAACATGATAATGTGGCATTTACAAGGCTCGACATTTGTAGAAAAGTGTTTCAATAATACAATAAGTGAAATGCTATATTTTTCTCAAATGTTCTGCTTTAAAGAATGGATGGATCTTGACAGACATAGAATGTACACTGCAAATTGTATTTTGATGAATAAGAATGTACATATGCCTGGTCTGTATAAAATAACTGTTAATCTGAGGAAGATTACATAACGCAAATAATCTTAAAAGACAATTCTTGCTAATTTGTTTTTTGTTTTGATCTTAATTAGTGATCTCCTTTTGTAATACAACAAATTCATTGTTATAGAGAATATGAAAATATTAATTCTAAAACTAAAAACTTCATTTGTGTACGTCATTTTATATGTTTCATATGTTCTCAGAATTCTCAGAAATGGCATGAATTATTAGAATGTTGTAAGGTTACGCTGAATTTTATGTAAGCAATTTACATTTTTTAAATTTAAATGTATTTGGCTCATATAATGTATAATGTATAATGTATAATGCATAGTGATATGATCTCTTATACGTTTATTTCATTCTGTGAGTAATTTTTTTTTTCAAAATTATGTGCCAAAGCAGACATAGACATCATGCCATTTTTGTAAGAAAAATGAATATTTTTAGATTCTCTGAGAATGTCTAAAGACATAATGGTTACTCACAAATGCAATTATCATTTTTCTGAATGAATTTTATACTGTGGCTTTTTTTGAGTACGCTTTAATGGCCAAGCCGAGTGTCAGCTCTGAGTGAGGCAGATGGAGAAACTAATTTAGAGGACCACGCTGTGTTGCAATACAAGATCAGCAGCCCTTTTATCTACAGTAGTTTGCGTTAACACAGCAGGTTTTCAAGAAATAGTCCTATAGGTATAAATAACTACAACTTCGCTATATGTTATTATTAGAAATATTTCATCTTGCGGTCTCATTCATCATGTATAAAACTTTTAATTAAGATTTATCTATGTTCTCTTTACACTACAACCATTCAAACCTATTCCATGTTGTAAATGTTCTTGTTTTGACAAAGTCTTCAAAGGCAAGTCTTTGAATGTGAATTCAATGCTGCAAATTTACTTTATAACCTGACACAAGCATTACCGAAGTTTTGCGGAACACCACTTTTTGTTGTTGTTTTGTTAAGACAGCTCTTTTCATGAATCTTGTTCAACAGTCTCATTGCTATTGTCTTTGATAAATATCATCTTCGCAGACAGTGAAGACTGATAGCAAATTGGAAGACTTTCTTCTACTTTTACGCTTTATACTGAAGTGACAGTTCATGATGTTCATCTTTTCATCTTCAGGGCTCAATGTTACAGATGAGCGACCTTCCAAGAGTGTGAAAAAGCATGCTGATCATTCAGACAAACAGAGTGAGTTGAATGATTACTGCTACTCATGCCTTCCTTTGAGAGTGTCTCGTCTATATCTGCAAGTGTTATCAATGGGTGCCGTTAGCAGGATTCTCACGACAATCAAAAAAAAAAAAAGCTAGCTTATTTAAAAGAGGCCAGCAAAATCAAGCAGTTAATCAAGATGTTGAACAATATGCATGAGAACTGTGTTTGAGGTAGGCCTGCTGAGAGTAACCTCCTATCATCAAACTGAACAGAGAAAAGACATCAGCAAGACCACCGCAGGATTGCACAGAACTGAGAGAGCAATCTACCACCCCAGAGACAACCGCTTCATTTTATTGCACGCTAGAGTTCATTTTAAAATTATTAATCACTGTGAGAACTAATTATGCAAATGCTGTACGCAATCACACAGGCATCATACATGAAGAAGATAAAGAAAAGCTGGAGTTGAAAGGAAAAGTCCTTGCACTCATTTGGGAGAGTCCCAACCGTATCCGACAATTAAGCACAACGTCATAATTTAGAATTTATGAAATTACTGAATCATTTAAATTGCCAAAAACATAATTTTATATAAAAATATTTAACAAAATGTTGAGCCTTTCTGCAGCGTTACAGGAATATGCTTAAATAATCTCAATTTTCGGAATTTATGTAAATATTGCTGTGTTCATGGCATTCATCAACCTTGTTATTCAAGTAAAAAAAGATCAAACTGATATTTTTCTTCATCTTATTGAAAAAGTAAACATTTGCTTCCAAACTAGCAAGCCCTTTTGAGTGATTATTTGTCATATTTATGACACATATTTCACTTTGATGCTTATTAAATGTTTAGCGTTAGAATGAAATGACACAAATTGGAGTTTAATCTGTATAAACTTCCCAGATTGTTAACAGGGCTGTAAAAAAATTATAATATTAATATGATAAATTGGGGTTTAATCAGTATAAACTTCCCAGATTGTTAACAGAGTTGTCAAAAAATATTATAATATCAATATTATATTTAATATGATATTTTCGGCAGATATAGCACCTTCTTCTACCAACCGTGTGTTGGGGGGAAAAAAACAACAACAACAAGACTTTGTTTTTAAGTTTCATGCTCTGTTATATTTCATGTTTCCATGCTTCTTCACCAACTACACTATCATTCAAATGTTTGGGGTGTGTAAAATCTTTTTATGTTTTTGAAAGAGGTATTTTATGCTCAACATAAAACAGAGTACAAAACATTAATATTGTGAAATTACAATTTAAAATAAATGCTTTCTGTTTTTAATATGTTATAAAATGTGATTTACTGCTGTGATGATCTGTCTCGTGATCTTTTAGAAATCAAGCTACCATGCTGATTTTGTGCCTAGGAAACATTTCTTACTATTGTCAATGTTGAAAACAGTTTGTGGAAACCTTGGTACATTTTTTTCAGGATTATTTGATGAATAAAAAGCTCAAAAGAACAGCATTTATTTGAAACTTTTTTGTAACAATTTTAAAGACTTTACTGTCCCTTTTGATCAATTTAATGCATCCTTAGTGAATTAAAATATTAATTTCTTTCAAAAAAAAAAGAATGGTAGTGTTTTTCACAACCACAATGGAACATCAGGCCAGTGACCTCTGACCCTGTTGAGAAGTCACCCCAAAGCAAGACCTTCAGAATGAGTCACAATTCCACAGATGATATACACGGACACAATCTGCATCCTGTAGTCATAAATCAGGAGAGCTTCATGAGCTCAAACCACACTGCGGAGGCAATGTCATAAACTTTCTAAAAAAAATAAACTCTTTCCCTAGTGTCCTCCATGCTACAATATGACATTTCCACAGGAAGTGACTCACGGGATGTGGCTGTGTTGCAGTGTACTGCTACAACGTTTTGCAACAATGCCCCACGGTTTAGATATACACTTTGCTGTTTGGGTCTAAATAGAAGTCTTTTGTCTGATGTTCTAGAAATACACACTGAGAACAGAATCAACACTCAGATAAGATCAGTGTCAGGATGCAATGTTGGAAAATTTTCTGACTCAACGCAGCATGCTGTAAAGATAAAAAAGTGAATACATTCATGAGAATGATAGAAACAGTTAAGGTAGATGATTCAGTGAAATCATTTAATGACTTCTTTTTTTGTCTTTCTGAACTAGTTGAGCTCTCCACACTAAATTTGTCCAAAGGCTGCTTTGGTGTGCCTAGGGCTCTTTACAAGAACACTTCAGTCGATGTGACCCTCAACCTTTTGGATGCTGAGGAAAAGAAAGAGCTTGCTCTCCAAATCTGTGAACGTTTAAGTTGTGGCCGTGTTTTCGAGCATGGCGCGACTGCAACAGCGCACAATGGCACTTGTCTTGCAGACTGCATCCTGAGAGACTCAAAACTGCACAACTGCACTACAGCCGCAAAAGTCGATTGCATGAATGCAACTGAAGTAATTTGCGGTGAGTCATCTGAGATCCTCTCAGAGATCTTTTGATAAGTGTTCTACTTTTGTTTCATTGCTGTAATTGTGCTTTGTCTGGGGCCTGGGCTGACCATTGTCTTCCAGAGCACCGTGCTGTCCGATTGTTTGGCGGACGTGATCACTGTGCTGGTCGGGTGGAGCTGCTGCATTCTGGGAATTGGGGAACAGTGTGTGATGATGATTTTGACATTAATAGTGGACATGTAGTTTGTACCCAGCTGAGATGTGGACGTGCGATAAGATTGGACTTTTTTGGGCCTGGAACAGGTCCCATCCACATCAGCCAAATGAAATGCAATGGCTCTGAGAGCAGCTTATGGGAGTGCAGCTCAATCAACTCCACTGCCAGCAACTATTGTGGACATAAGGAAGATGCTGGCGTTGTGTGTTCAGGTACTATACACATTCTGATTCTGTACACTTTACTGGCAAGTGCTAGATAACATAAAACTCCACTCTTTTCTACACAAAGGTGAATTGCAGTTTGGCATATGCCATATTATTTCACAGTATTTTCAATTGAAAAATATATAGAGTGGGTAATTTTTACTAGTCAGGAATTGATTGGATAGTAAAAGTGGACATTATATACCTGATTGGAGAATGCAAGTTTGTTTAAACAATATTAAATAGCTTTTGGCAATTTTTTGATATTATCTAAGCATCCACATGGCCAAATGATGTCAAAAGAAAAGAAAGCAAATTATTATATTTAGATAAAAAATTACTGGTGCTGTCAAACGATTAATCACGTCCAAAATACAAGTTTTTGTTTACATAATATATGTGTGTACTGTGTATATTTATTATGTATATATATAAATACACACACATGCAGTATATATTTCGAAAATATTTACATGTATATATTTATATTCACATAATTTATATTATATATAAATATATTTAAAATATAAAAACGTATTTTTCTTAAATATATACATGCATGTGTGTGCATTTATATATACATAATAAATATACACAGCACACACACACACACACATATGTTATGTAAACAAAAACTTTTATTTGGGATGTGATTAATCACGATTAATCGTTTGACAGCAGTAAAAATTACAAAGACAATTTTAGGAGCACTTTATTTTACAGTGTCCTTGTTATTTATTATTATAATAACAACGGTGAATTCTGCATAATTATATGCAACTAAGCCTAAACCAAACCTAATCCTCTAGTAAGTATGTATAAGTATGTTCAGGGGTGCACATAAGATTTTCAGTCTGGTTCTCATAAGAGCACCTGGGAATTTGGTTTGGTAATCACACTGCACATAGTGTGACTCATTAAATATAATTAAAAATAAAATTATTAATAATAGTGATAATAGTATTAATGTACTTTTTGTATTTTAGTAAAATAATAAATAGAGTATGACGATATGATATGACTATTATTATATTTTAAAATAAAACGTGGGTGTTAAATAAAAATACAAGTATTTTATAGTATGCTTAAAAATACAATGCTAGTATTTAATTTTTTTATTTAAATTTATTTTTTTAAATAAGCAAGTGAAAACGGCAGCATATAGCCTAGATTTATGCTTTATGTTTGAATGGAAATCTAATTCAGTATTACAGTTAGTCGATCTAAAAGGGTGATTGTGCATTAAGAGCTGTCAATCATGTTGGTACACAAGTGAGTAGTCTGAATTTATTTACTTTTTATTTTTTATTTTTGTTGCGCATGAGCACCTGGGTGCACCACTAATGTGCACCCGAATATGGTAATGTTAGCAATGTGGTTAATTAACATTACTCATAATTATATGGTTACAAGGACACCTTAAAATTAAGTGTAATCCATTTTTGTTTGGAAAAACATACACCGTTGAATCGTTCAGTAAGAACAGGACATGTAGTATGACGGTAAATAGGCTAGGTAGTATGAACTTAAGTGTTGATTTGAGCATTATAACATTTGATTTGTAGACACCAACTTTTTGTGCCAAATGTATTACTTCGCAACCAAATTTCCTGTGTGTACCTGAGGTCGTAGTACGTGACCTCTTGAAGTGGAACGTTACCATAATTTCACTGAAACGCGGGTCAGAATTAACTTTTTAGGGTGGTGGGAGAGAATTTCCATGTCAGTTGGTCTAAAAAAATAAGACAAAAGTAGGGCAGGCTTACAACAGTATTTCTGAAATGTCAAAACACACATATATAAGCTTTAGTTTTGCTAGTGTCTTGTTGTGAAATCCAGACTGACAGGTCTTGGTAATTTGTACTCCTTTGAATCCTTTGTATCCAAATGGATTAATTGTCTTTCATACAGAAAGTGTTGAGATCATACCTACAAGTGGCACAACCCAGCTGAACTTGACAACTCTGGTGGCAGGTGATGCTTTAGTTCCTTCAGTTTAAAAAGAAATATAAATGATTATAAACAGTGACATAATCTGCATGATTTCTGTTAATATAAACCTCTCTGTTTATTTTAGTGTCAACTGCAATGGCATCTGCTCAAAGCAGCAGTGGTGTTTCAGCAGCAGCGATTGGCTGCGTCATCTTATCTATTGCTCTGCTTATGGTTATTGTTTTAAACGCTGCTGCCTATGCACATTTCAAAAGAGCAAAGGGCAAGTATAAGCATGTTTTACATGTAAAAGCACTACTCACTCATATCTTCTGAAGCAGTGGAAACAGTGGCATCGGAATGTTGCAATAGGGCTAGAAACTAAATACTATCCACTGTACTAAAATAACTGGCTATGAAAATACAGTGGCACCAAAAAAATATTCAAACCATTTTAGACCCTTTACTCACATAAAAAAGTGGCATCTGAAAATAACACATTTTCTTAGAACTAAATAAAATGGAACTGAGCAAGTAGAGCTGAGCTACTACAACAAACAGACTTGTAGTTATTTTTTATCATTGTCTAACTCTGAGAGCATCTATGCATACGCATACAACACTGTTGTTTTAATACTGTATTGTTATAATCTTCAAAGGAATTCACAGACTTCTTGGCCAATTTCTGTGTGCATTCAGCGTATTCCATTCAAATAACAGGAAATAATTTTTTATAGAACATGAGCGTCAAACCTTTTGTGAACTATTAACTCATTCTTTTGATTTGAGTTAATAGGACAATGCAAAAGCTTAAGGCAACAGCTTAGTGCTGCATGGGGAAGTTTAAAGGGGTCCTATTATGCTCTTTTACAAAGTCTTGATTTTGTTTTGGGGGTGTACTAGAACAGGCTCTCATACTAGGTTGTTCGAAAAACACATTATTTTTCACATATTTTACATTATTACAACACCTCTCTCCCCAGTCTGGCATGAACGGCTCGAATAGTTCCTGTATCAAATGAAGGCCCGCCTTCTGAAATACAAAATGTGCTGTGATTGTTAGTTGGGCCAGTGTGTGCTGTGATTGGCAGCACTCGGCACCTGGTCAGGAAATGTCATACCCCTTACCTTACACTGCTGCTAGCTTCAGTGTAAATAGTGCGTCAAAATCAAATCAATTTGAGCGCGATTTAAACCCAGATGATTGTAACCACTCTAAGTTCGTCTGCCTTGGGAAAGCTAGCGTGTCTCCGACATAGTGATAACACTCATTGCCTTCTCTAGTGCAGCTCAACCAGGTCTCGTCCCATTCGTCGGTATTTGTGATATCACAAATCCCGGAAAATATGCCTTGTAGTCCAAACGAGTCGTTTGTTGTAGTTTTTGAAAAGTGATTTCTGTCAAATAAAATATCTCCTTTTGAATTGGACTTTGAGCTTTGTAACTTTGCAGATCTTTTTTATGCTCAAACAGCAACATTACAGACTAACTAAAGTTGAAAAAGTGAAAAAGCATAAAAGGACCCCTTTAAGCCATTTGTTTTTATCCTCTTTACCAACAGAATGTGTGATTTACCAACAACACAGTAATTCTCACACAAGCCTGGAGAACCAGTCCAATGCACAGATAGGAATTTACAACACACAATCTGTCCACACTGCTGGGGGGGATCAGTATGGTTTGTATTGCTATTGTTTTTATTTTCTATTTTCTGTTTTCATTTTCTATGTCCTCACTGATTATTTATTTTTAGCATTTATTATATATTATAAATATTCTTAAATATATTTCAGAGTATGGTCTGCTGTTATATGGAATTTTAACCCATATTTTGGTAATTTTTTATTTTATTTCAAAGAATGTGCAGTTAATTTAATGAAATAATACTATGATTATACTACATTATTTTTAAATGTATTTAAAGAAGTGATTCAATTCAATTTTAATTAACTGGCTCTGCAATTATAATATACATAAAATGCTAAAAAAGTATGTCTCGTCTAACTAGTGATGATCTGTTTTGTCTTTTCTGTAATGGTCAAACTTTTACATTTTGCAATGATTTTCACTCCTCAGAAAATCTTGCCCCGAGAATGAGCTCAAACTA